GCCATTAGCTGGTGATTGACTGATTGACTTATTTTATCTCTCTAGTCAACACCTTTTCAGCATGAATTTTCAAAGTTTTATTTTCCCATTCCAAAATCTTAGCGCTGAAGAGGAATAAGTCTTGGCAGTGTGCGTTGTGCATGTAGGGAAACTGAGTCAGAGAGGGTGAGGGACTTGAGCCTCGTTGGAGAGAGTCCGTCAGTGCTCTGATTTGAACTTGAGAGCTTCCATTTCTGATCAAGGTTCTCTAACTTGAAAGGGCTGTTTTACTTGGGGGGCTACTTGCTGTACATTTTCCTAATTGTACAGAGCTGCCCATGCTACATTTGGGATCTTGAAAGACCTAAATAAGGGTCCCCCACTCCTTTCCCACCCCACCTCTCCTGTTCCCATTCTTTATTTCCTTGAAATCCCTCAGCTGTTGGGGAGTATGCTGGGTTGCAACAGTTATGCTATTAGTAATCTTTTAACCCCATTCCACTGCAGTAAGATTTAGCCCTGTTATCCTAATGCAGTCCTCCTGAGGGCAGAAGTGAGCTGACAGATTCTTTACTGTAGGAAATATTGGAGCAAGCATAATCCATCGCCTGTCAGAGGAAGAGCATGTTGTGAACAGAATGCTCTTGACCAGCCATCTCTGAGACCCCTTTAAACCGAAACACATGCAAAGTGGGGCAGGAACCATCCTTGTTTCTGACCTAAAACAGGACCCAACCATTTCTTCCTAACATTTACCTCCTCTCTTGCTTCTGACCTCTTCCAGTGGGAATTCCTGGGGACCTAAAACACTCTTAACTAAGTTAGGTTGGCTCTGCAGCTGGTTTAGGAGAGCTGGGTAGGCAGGATCACCGATTCCTCCCTCCCCAGCTCAGAAAACAAGGACACTTGAATACGTGTTTCTTTTCAGGCTTCATGTGAGCTCAATGGCTATAATAAGCCTTTTCTGGAGTTATGTGAGTTGCTGGCAGACGTGAACTGTCCAGGCCACAATTTGTCCTAGCAGGATTTGTAATGGTAGATGAGCAGAGCCACCAATTTAAAGAGGTTCCCCAAGAAAATCCAAAGGATCTCATCTATGAAATCCTTTTTGGAAATCAAAGGACCAGGGCTTCATTGTGCTGAGCGATTATTCAAACCAAAGTCCCTGTCCTGTTTTCCACATAGTCAGGCCTCGGAGTTTGCCACTGCCAGGTGCCTGTCACTCAAAGCGTCTCAGTAAAAGTCTGTAAGGAAGGATTTTAAGAAAAGTTAATGGGGACTTTTTCTCCTTTCTGTATGTGGGTTTTTGCCGGAGAGAGGACAGAGGTGTTTGTGGAAATGGTAGATGAGGACAACGTTCATCTAAGAGCCTGAGGGTGTAAACTGTGTTTCTGTTTGACTCCTCCAGGTTGCTGCATGTGAGAGAGAGATCTACACATGCTGTCGAGATGGGATAGTGAGGAGATACCAGCTCTCCAACTGCTGACCTTTCGAGTTAAGGAAAACGGAGGAGCTAAGAACCCAGCCCATGTGTCAAAGTAGCATTTTCACACAAACAAGAGCAGCGTCACCCTCCTGTGACCACGCCGCACATCCAAAATGCCTCCTGGCTTCAAGAACGTCAGGATAAAAATCTAAACAGTGGGCAGTCCATAGAGTTCTCGAGGACGGGTGTTGTGCTGTTTATTACACACAGTGTTTAGACTGTATTTCCCAGTATGTAACCCCAAAGTGCAAGACCCTTTTCTACCCGCAATACATTTCTGTTCAATGGGTAATGGTTATTTCTGCGAGAAAATGATCTGGGGTTGGGGCTCAGGCCCTGGAGTATTCAGTCAGGCAGTATTGATTGAAACAAAGGGAGCGACTTTGGATAACAACTGTCCTAAGAACCGTGTCTGTTTTCAAGGTGGTTTGCTCTGCTTGAGAGAGTAACTGTGATGAGCGTGTACAACTCAGTGCTCTTGGCTGCAAGAAGCCTGCTTGCTTTTGTGAATGGAAAGAGTACGCGGGAGCCTAGGGACAGAGCAGCTAATGCTTCTCACTGCAATTCCAGAGGCCTGAGTTCAAGCCCTGCATGTGTGCCAAAGAATGCTCTTGTTCAATCTAGTGGTGAAAAGGTACCCAGCAAAAGCAAATCCAGGGGTGGGAGGGGTGTAGTGGAGCAGTCATACTCCCCCATCTTTCCACAGTGAAGGGCACCTACTGATAGACCCGTTTCCCCAGGTGCCTAGGTGCTGTGCTGGGTAAGGGGAGCAGGTGAGGAAGGGAGACCCTACCTGCTGCTGTCACCAGCTGACCCGAGGGTGGCTGTCCCCCTTCCGCCAGGGGCTGTGGACAGCAGCTGAACAGGGTGCCAGGTCCCTGCTTCTTCTCCCTCCACCCCCTCTCCCTTGCTGGCCTAAGGGCTACAGCTGCAGGGAAAGCCAAGGGGTGGGCAGGGAGCAGGAGTGCCTGGAAGTAGGGAGATCTCCCACTGAGGCCACCATCTCTTGGCGCAGCTTTCTCAGCTGGATCCCTCAGGAAAGCAGGGACCTAGCACCCAGTGCTGTTCCCCACAGGCCCTGGGTGCATCAGGACACGAGTGGTCCAGTGGCTTCCCCTGCCCCAGAATCAGCTAAAGACTGCGGTGGCAGCAGGTTTCCAGCCGCTTCTGCTCCCTGTCACCTTGGCATCCCGCACATTCTGGAGACAGGCACTACTAGAAGGCAGGACTGCCCCCAGCCAAGCCAGCCACTGTAACCTGCTGATTCCCTGTGCTCCTGGCTGGAGCAGTCCTGGGGCTCCCCTGCTCCTGGCTTAGCTGGATTGTGGGGGCAGTGAGCAGGTCCTCCGTAAGGCAACCCCTGGTGGAGGGTGGGAGAGGAGGGCAGGGGATACCTGCACTGGAGCCAAGCTGTGTGGAGGGGCTACCAGCTTCAGGGTCTCCAAGAAGCGCCTGGGTGGTGGTGGCATGTCCTGCACCCCCCTTTCCAAATTCCTGGATCCACTCATGGCACCCAGCCCTTCCCACTTGGAAGTCAGTAACGTTACAGGAACTCATGCCTCAAGCACCGTAACCTGATGGATGGGCTCTTATGCTCAGGTGTACGTTTCCCTTGTGGATCAGCAGCTGTGATTTGGATCTCAAATTTGATGTGAGATTTCAATTTGATTACTGGAGCTAATCGCATGTTCCCATAGTTAAAAAATAATCTCCTTGTGGAGTACAGCTGTTACAGTGAACGACGCATTCAAATGCCATTGCTGGATTTTGTTCAACACAGCTCCTGGCATATGGCCCCAAAACAGGTTGGTTTTGCCACTGGGTTTCAAATCCTGGTAACGACAAACCCTGCCATTCCTTGAAACGTCGGGGGAAAATATTTAGTCCTGTGAGCTCAGGCTTGGCTACTGCGCTCCTGCGTGCATGGAAACTCATTTCTTAGTATGGGGTATTGAAGAATGAATTGATGGGCTGTTTTAATTCAACTCCGCCACTGACTCCCTGTGACCTTGAACAAGCTCCTTTGTTGCTCTGGGGTTACAGTGGTGGTAAGAGGGGACGTGGTAGTGGTCTTTGAATGCTTGAAGGGCTGCCATAAAGAAGACAGCAGGGAAGTTGCGGACTTTCCGTCACGGGGGTTTCAAGAAGAGCTTGGACAGGCACTGGTGGGGGGTGATCTAGGTGCAGGGATACCTGTGTTTATGGGGACTTCCCAGGCTTCTGGGCTTTGCCCTTTGTCCCCTCTCCCCCTTTCTGCTACATGTCGTGGGGCTTTTAAACTTCCCTTAGAGGCGCTGGGTTTTGGCTGTAGCCAAGGCTGGGGATGCTCCTGCTGGGACTCAACCCCAGACGGTCCTGGTTCGCAGGTCTTGCCCGTCCACTCGGTCAAACCGATGCCAGGTTTGGGGTCAGGAAGGGATTTCCCGCCATGCTCAGACTGGTACAGGCTCTAGCGGGGGCACATCCTCTGCCTGAGCAGGTATTAACAACCCTTACGGCAGCACGGCACTGACCGCTGGGCTCCCCAGCTTTCCCCGAGGCAGGTTAGGGCTTCGGGCAGGGCGCCTGGATGGGACCTTAGCGGCCCCGTCCGCCCTGCTCCTTTCGGGCCTTTGTGTCCTTGCCCCCTCGGCTGCCGGTGCCACCCCCAGGCCTTCCTCTTCCTGCCCCCAAAGCAGCCGGCAGGCACCGGGCCGGCCCAGGAGGCCCCCAGAGCATAGGAGGGGATGGGGTGCCTTCTCCTGCACCCCCAGGTGCGCCAGCCCCAGAGCGGGGTGGGAGGTCCCGGGGGTGGGGGGGGGAGAGGAGCCTGGACAGGTCTTTGGGGTGGGGCAGCCTA